GGGGGGGGGGGGGAGGGGAGAGGGGAGCGGGGGGATCCGATCAGAGGACATGCCATGACGATCGAGATCATCAGGTGCAGCAAGAGGGAGGGGGGAGAGAGAGAGAGAGAGAAAGAGGGGAGGGATCTGGGTGTGGGGGGGAGGGGGGTACTCGTGCGTGTGCATGTGTGTGGTGGGTAGGGTGATGACCACACTCATACTTGGAGTATGCGGTCTGTCCTTTGAGAGGGGAGAGGAGCAGACACAGAGATCTGGGCGAGATCAAGCAAGTGGCGTGGACACGGCGGAGAAGTAGCTGGGATGCGATCAATTCCTCGATCTTGGTCTAGTCTACTACTGATATGGTGGGTCGACTTGTACCTGTGCAAGTTGACGACGACAACGACATCGAAGATGTTAAAGAGAACGAGCTGGCCGACCGAGAATCGCGACGAAATAGGTCGACAGGGGCACTCGCTTTGATCGCAGCAAACATCGCGATCATCAGTCTGTCTCTTGATGTGCGATGGCGCACAAGTATGCGATCATGAGCACCTAATGAATGTGAAGCTGCAGATGCAAAAAATTTGTGATCATGGCCACTGCGGCGCCGCGGCAGACTCATCCGTCCGATGTTGTGGATGATTGCTCCTCATGGCACGGCGTTTTTCTTCAAGCTGTCGTATGCACTCCCTTATCAGCCGTGTAGATATGATGTGGCGCTGATACCGGTTCAATCGGGACTGAATGCTGCTGGAATCCAGGCACCGACGACAACCCATTTAGCGACGTGACTCCACCTGTCAAAGACGCCAGCTTCGCCCTCGGCGCACTCCACTACACACGTTGTGCTTCGGTTTCGATCAAGTTCTGTTCTTGTTCAATTTGTCAAGGACGAGCTTGGTGGCCCCCTTTCTTTTCAGGAAGGCCACAACAATCTCCACGATGCACACAACGACGACGGTACCAGGGCTATGCCCCTGCCCATGCACTTGCCCACGATCCCGGTCATGGTAGCTCCCACCCGTGAGCGAGACCAGGACGTAGATGAGCATCAAAGCATGCACACGTACCCATACCTCCATCACCCTTGCCCTTAACTTGCATGATCAGTCCGAGTAGCTGATATCAAGACCTCCCAAACACAAGCTCCTCTTCCTCCCGCCCCTCCTCGCCTTGCCACCGTGTCGGCCACAGGCGGCGGCAGCCAAGGCGTCACCCCCCCCCTCCCCCCTCCCCCCCCCCCCTCCCCCCCTACCACACGGCCACCCACCCCACCCCTCGCGCTCTCCATGTCCGCACAACCGTCGTCGGAGGACCCGTCTGCGCTGTATGACCTGGGCGTGCTGCTGGGGCGCGGCTCGTTTGGCTATGTGTACGCAGGGCGGTGCGTGGCGACGGGCGAGACTGTTGCGGTCAAGCAGGTGTTCCTGGAACGGGGCGAGGATCTTGCTGACATGAGAACGAGATAGCCATTCTGTCCAAGGTCTCGCATGGGAACATTGTCCACTACATAGCCTCGTACTACACAGGCTCTGCGCTATGGATCGTCATGGAGTGCTGCGATGGCGGCTCGGTCACCGATCTCCTCGACAATCTCAATCATCCGCTGCCGGAACATGTCATCGCCTTCATTGTCCGTGAGTCGCTCGAGGGTCTCAAATACCTGCACAAGCACAAGTTCCTCCACAGGGACATCAAGGGTGGGAACATCCTCCTTACCGCTTCCGGCCATGTCAAGCTTGCTGATCTCGGCGTCTCGGGCCAACTCCACGACACCTTTTCCAAGCGCAACACCTTTGTCGGCACGCCGTACTGGATGGCGCCCGAGGTCATCATGGAGCAGGGCTACGACGGCAAGGCCGATGTGTGGTCGCTCGGCATCACTTGTTTCGAGATGTCCCAGATGCTCCCGCCGTATGCCTCGGTCCATCCCATGCGTGTGCTGTTCATGGTGCCCAAGCGCGATCCGCCCAAGCTCGAAGACCCCGATGCTTGGTCGCCACTCTTTGCCGACTTTCTGAGCGAGGCTCTGACCAAAGAGCCGCGCTCGCGGCCGTCGGCCTCGATGCTCCTCTCGCACCCGTGGGTCAAGGGCGACGCCGTCGGCTCACCCTCGGACGTCGTCCACATCATCGAGGAGGCCGCCGAGGCCAAAGCCCGCGCCGCCGCCGAGTCGGCTGCCGAGCTGGCTGCTGCCAAGGCCAAGCAGGCGGCCGCCGTTGCTGCCGCAAACGCCGCCGCCGATGAGATCGACTCGGACGAGCTTGATGATGAGATGGGCACCGTCCGCCGCGACCCGGGCTACCGAGTCACCGGCCTCGACACCATCTCCAACCAGGCCTTTGTCATCGACGACAACGACGACGAAACATCATACAATCCGGGCACCATCGAGTTCAACAGCACCATCGAGTTCAACACCAGCGGCCTGGCCTCTGTCACCTCGCCCAACTCCAAGGCGCTGCGCAACCTCGACGAGGACGAGCGCCTGCTGCTCCAGGTCTCGGCCGACGATCACGAGGCGTCACTGCTGGCGTCTGCTGCCGCCGCGCCGCCCTCGCCGTCTGCCGACAGGGTCCTGGCCGCTGCGGCCTCGGCCGCCGCCGCTTCGGCTGCCACCGCAGCTCCGGCCTCGCCGCGCCTCGCCCGCGACCGAGCCTCGACCGCCGTCCGTTTCGTCAAGACGACCGAGACGATCTCGGGTGACGACGTTGACCTCGCAAACTCGGTCCGCATGGGCGCCACTGTCCGCCTGCCATTCCTCGACCTCACCATGTTTGATCCGGACGTGCTCGTCGAGCCCGACTCAGACCCGGCCGGCTGCCGCATGGACATGGAGGACACCATCAAGTCGCTCTCGCCGCTTGACCTCGACCTCACCGATTGGTACACCGACGCATACATGCGCAACATGCTCAAGACTCTGGCCGCCGCAAAGGCCCGCCGCGCAGACTCCTCGGTCCGCCCACCGCCCACCTCGCCCACCCGCCGCCCGTCCCTCGCTGCAAAGCTCGCCGCCAAGCGCGAGGCCCGCCGCCGCGAACGCTCAAAGATCCGCAACGACCGCATCATCCACGACCTGCAGACCACCCTCCGCACCATTTACCGTGTGTAAACAAACGCCGACCTACAGCCGCGGTGGCGCGCCTCGGCGCGACGGCGGCGCACCCCGCCGCGATCTGCCCCGCCCCCGCCCTGGTCTGGCCTGGCTGCCACTAGCGCTCTCGCTCTTGGCCTCGGGCTTGCGGGCTGACTTGGCTTCGCCCCCGCTGTCTGCTTTCGCGCTGCCACGGTTGTTGTTGTTGCGGCCACGGCCAGAGTGTTGACCGCGGTTGCGGTTGCGGTTACGGTTACGGCTGCGGCCACGGGTCGACTTGGACTTTGCCGCACCATCAGCACTAGCACCATCAGCATCAGGCGCAGCCTTGTCCTTGACCTCGCCCTTGCCCTTGCCCCTACCCTTGCTGGTGTCCTGCTGATTCAAGCCCTTGCCGCGTCCGCCACCCTTGCCTCGCCCGCTACCCTTGCCGCGTCCGCCATCCTTGCCGCGCCCGCCACCCTTGCCGCGCCCGCCACCCTTGCCGCGCCCGCCACCCTTGCCACGTCCACTTCCTTTGCCACGTCCGCTTCCCTTGCCGTTGCCGCGCGTACGCTCGGTCGATGCTGCCGCCGACGCTGCAGGCGCATCCACAGCGGTAAACGGGATAAAGCGCGGCGCGCGCTTGACCTGCGCCACGGCCGGCTGGGCAAGCGAGGCTTGATGGGTGGCGTAGCGCGCGGCAAGCGTCTCGACCCGCCCGCCCAGTGCAGTGACACATGTCGGATCGAGGAAGACAATACCGTTGAAGACACGGACAGTACCAGCGAGCCGGATCTTTGCACCGGGAATGAGCGCCTCGTCCGGAATGGGCAGCGGTTCGTGCTCGACGGCCGCAAAGGATGTCGCTCCGTCGGTGACCAGCATGCGCAGCATCCGCGCCTTGCCGCCGCGGGCCAGTCTCGCGGCCGATCTCACCTTGAGCCGCACACTCTCGGAGGCCGCTGCCAGCTTGCGCAGTGCATCGGCGCCGGCAGTGTCGTCATCGTCACTGTCATCATCGCTCATCGATGTTTCATCGTCATCGTCACTGGCAGCAAACGCAAAGCCTGAGGCGTGGCGGACGGCCTGCGCCACGTTGCGGACCTTCTGAATCTGAACAATGACCGGGCCGTGGAGAGCGCGAGGCGGGGAGCCGTCAATCCGGGTCGAGACCATGCTGGCCTTGGCCAGGTGACTGTTGAGCAGGATGTGCTCGACGGCGTCGACCGAGGCGGAGCGAACAGCAGCGTCCGCCGCAGCCTCCAGCCTGGACTCGTAGGTCACGGCAGCGGCGACTGACGCCGCACTTGCTGCCCACCCGCGCGCGCGCAGGCCCGCCACCGTCGCCTCTGGCAGCTGCAGATGCGCACGGCCCGAGTCAACGTCCACTTTCCACGCGTCGCCAATGCCGACGCCGACATCTGCCTCGTACGGAGCGACAATCGGGGCCACCTTGGGTGCGACCCAAGCCGCGCCAGAGTCTGTCACTTTGTCCGCCTTGCCACCTTTCCCGCCTTATGACTCTTCCCAGCTCCATCCACTGTGCCCGACACGTCCTTGCGGCTCGATCCGTCCGCCTTGCCTTTGCGGCTCGACCCCGCCTTGCCACCCTTTCCCGCCTTATGGCCCTTCCCAGCTCCATCCACTGTGCCCGACACGTCCTTGCGGCTCGATCCGTCCGCCTTGCCTTTGCGGCTCGACCCCGCCTTGCCACCCTTTCCCGCCTTATGGCCCTTCCCAGCTCCATCCACTGTGCCCGACACGTCCTTGCGGCTCGATCCGCCCGCCTTGCCTTTGCGGCTCGACCCCGCCTTGCCACCCTTTCCCGCCTTATGGCCCTTCCCAGCTCCATCCACTGTGCCCGACACGTCCTTGCGGCTCGATCCGCCCGCCTTGCCCTTGCGGCTCGATCCGTCCGCCTCTTGCTCCTTAGCCTCTACGCTGGTCCACGCCCCTTGCCACACAGGCGCATTCGGATTGAGCCCGCCGCCAGCCCCAGCCCCAGCCCCAGCCCCAGCCCCAGCGACAGCCCCAAACCCAGGCGGACCACCAGTCGCAGCCCCAGCCCCTCCAGCCCCAGCCCCTCCAGCAGCCCCACCAGGCATGCCCTCAAACCCGGGCGGAAGGTCGGACATCCAATTCGTGCTTGCGAGTCGAGTGTGCCCGGACGGTGCTGCCTGCTTGCCAACCCCTGGCGACCGCCCGCCCCTCCTGCCACGGCCTCACCAGCATGGGTCACTCAGCGGGAGCCCATTCGCTCGATCGCCTGCTATCCGCTCACCCAGGCTGTATATCACGTCTTTGATAGCACAGCACTTGCGGCTGCAGGCTAGCAAAAGTGAGGACGAGAGGTCTACTACTGCTCCTGGCGACGGACACACACGGCAGCGACGGCGAGGAGACCGACGAGGACGGTGACAACTGCTGCCGCGATGATGACAGAGGCTGTCCGCGAGAGCGCAGGAGGAGACGCCGGCGAGCGCGAGACCGTGGCGTTGGTCTCAAAGTCGTAGGCGATGCCGGCAAGCGGATCGATAAGCTCGTAGATGCCAGTCTGCGCGAGAACGTAAAGCCGGCGCTCACCAACGAGCGCCATCGAGACGATACCTTCGATGGCGACGGGGCTGGCCGGCTCAATGTCGTCGCGGAGCTTGACTTCGAGGAAGCCGTCGTCGCCAAACTCGAGCGAGCCCCGGGGCGTGACCTCGTTGGCCACTCGGAGGCCGTGAATGTAGTCGGCGTACACGTAGTGGTCGACGAGCGAGGGGAACCACGTCTGGTTGCGGAGGAGAAAGCCGCCAGTGATCGACGCCCATCCTGTCGACGAGATCGAGTGCGGGTACTCGACCACCGGCCCGACGTAGGCCCCATCCGAGAGCGCGGTGTCGGCCCGCCAGAGCATCGAGCCCTCCCACCGTGGCCACCCGAGGTTGTTACCGGCGCGGACAATGCTGAGCTCCTCGCGCGACTCCTGGCCCACATCGGCAACCAGCAGCGCGCCCGGGTTGAGCTCAGCGTCGAGCGAGAACCGCCACGGGTGCCGCAGCCCGCGCGCAAACTCGATCGAGCCCGCGCGCGGATTGTCTGCCGGCACACTGTGGTGGCCCCAGAGCGCGCCCTCAGCCCCAGCAGTCGACGCTGGCACAAGCAGCCGCAGCATCTTACCATGCAGCTCGGCTGGGTTCTGGGCAAGGTTGCGCGGATCCGAGTGGGCACCACCATCACCAACGCCGACGAGCAGCACCGCGCCTGAACCGTCGGTCGGCTGCCGCGCCTCCGGTTCAAAAACCATGTCCGCCACGTTGTGGTTGAGCCAAGGCTGGAGAACCTTGAGGATGTTCCGCGAGAAGCTCGCGTTCTTGGCGGCAAGGTCAACAACATACTCGTCGATCATGGACACGCCGCCGCCAGAGCAGACCCCAGCTGTGCACGACTCGCCGGACGGGCATGATCCGGGGCTTCCGGCACACGGGTACACACACTGTGCACCCGATGTGCAAACATAGTTGACATACATCCGGCCGGATGCAGAAAAGTCCGGCGCGAGGGCGACGGAGAGCAGCCCGCCCTCGATGGAGGTATCAACGACGCCGCGGAGATCAAGAACCAGCTCGCCGGCAGCCCAGGCGACGGTTGACGGCACCACAGAGTCATCATAAGGATACATCCAGACTCGGCCGTCCTTGGCCACGCCAACAGCCATGCCCAACTCGTCCGATGCCGCCACATCCACCAGATACGCCTCGGACCGCCGCACAGCATGGACCGACAAGAGGTCACTGGCGGCCACTGGCTCTGCCGCCAGCACAGTCACAGTCACAGCCACAGCCACAGCCATGGTCACAGCCATCCGTCCTATACCCCATGTCTCACTTGTCATGGTCACTTGCTCTTGGTCCCCGCCCCAGTTGCCCGAGTTGGGTATGCTGCTGTTGTCAGCTTGTTTCCGTCGGCTGCCTGCACCCCATCCATGGGCATGGGCATGGGCATGGGCATGGGCATGGGCATGGGCATCGATCGGGAGGGCTGTGCAGGCATGGGCATGGGTATGGGTATGGGCGTATGGGCATGGGCATCGGTATGGGCATGGGCATGGGTATGGGCATCGGTATGGGCATAGGCATCGGTGTGGGCATCGGTGTGGGCATAGGCATCGGTGTGGGCATAGGCATGGGTATGGGCATAGGCATCGGTGTGGGCATAGGCATCGGTGTGGGCATAGGCATGGGTATGGGCATAGGCATGGGTATGGGCATAGGCATCGGTATGGGCATAGGCATCAGGAAGACAACATCAACATCCGCACAGAGACCATGTCAAGGCAGGCAGAAGGAATGGCTGACGCCAAGTGGTGCTCAGGGAGCCGACGCGGGCAGTGAACATGGGGCAGGTGGGCAGACTCGACTGGTTCCGGAGACGAAGACGCGACGGATGGACGAGACAGGAAGCAGCGAGAGCACCATGGCTGTGGCAGGAGTGACTTGTGGATACGTGGTGAGCGTGGCGGCGGCGGCGGCGACTGGGGCGATGTTCCCTCCGGGCGAGTGGTACGCCGGCCTGCGCAAGCCGTGGTTCACTCCGCCCAACTTGGCCTTCCCCATCGTGTGGACGGCGCTGTATGTAGCCATGATCATTGCTGCCACACGCCTCCGCGCATCGCCGCTGGCATCGGCCCTCTTTGCTGCACAGATCGCTCTTAACGCCGTCTGGACGCCGACTTTCTTTGGCGCACATCGCATGGCTGCCGCGCGTACCATCATGGCCGTACTCATGGCCGTCGTCCTTGCCCTCATCGTCGTGGCAGCATCTGTCGACATCCCGGCCATGCTTCTTCTCCTACCCTACCTCGCATGGCTCGCTATCGCCTTTGCCCTCAACTCGGCCCTCATCCGCCTCAATCCGCATCTCGTCGCTCGCAAGTCTTGACCTCCTCCAACCGCCTGCCGACTACCTCACCACTCCACGTCCTTCGAGGTTGTCATCGGCCCACCAACTCCCATCATTCGCCTCTATTAGCTGCATCAACCAGCTTCTAGCCCGCCTCCCGTCCCCCTGCCCTTCGGCGCGATCCCCATCTGGCTGAACTGTTCCCCACCAGCTGCAAGGCAACCACCCCTCACAACCCTACAACGATCTACAACTCTCAACAGCTAAGATGATCGATCCCCTTTCAATAGATCGCCAACCCATCAGTCCCCTCTGCCCCTCTCCCGCTCTCCAGGCCTAATAAGCCTGATCAGACCCTCCCACGAGAATGTCCCCTCCCCACCCCCCCCCCCCCCCCCCCCACCTCACCCATCACCATCACCACCATCACCACCATCACCACCATCACCACCATCACCACCATCACCACCATCACTACAA